AGCACGACAGTTGTCACGTGGAGCTACATCAGAGTGGAAAGACAAATGTTGTGCACAATGTGGAGTAGATGAGTGCCCTTCCGCCATTGCAATGGCATGCCTCCTTAGATGCTCCCGCAAACTGTGCTCATCTTCACCACCAACCCCGAAAGAGAAACCACCAATGGGCTGAATCGGTGTACAGAAGCCAGGCAAGGGTGTCCCAGAATCACTTTCTGGGACATGTGTCGACCTGCCCGTCTCATCATGCGGTTCTGGAACCTGTGACAAAGCGGGGTCCAATGATGGAACCCCACTCCCGACAGGCGTGCCCACCTGTCCCAATGTCCCCAAAGGCCGTGAAGACGGGACTTGTGTACCCACACCGTCTTCGAAGGGCCACTGGGTCTCGCTCCCTGTCCCGTTCAAGGACCCACAGTCCCGACTAAATGCAGAGGGAAGCTGCGTGTACATTCCTGCTTGTCCAGCTGCAGGCGCCGCAGGCGGTGCATTGTCTAGTCCCTGTGTTCCGTACTGGGACTCTGTATACTCCCAGTCCTGTATGCAGGACAGTCCCGCGGGATCACTGGCAGAGGCCATGATCACAGAGAGATTCAGGGACAAGCAGCGAACAGTGAGATGACTGGGCGAAGGAGGAGAACCGGGAAGGAGATGGCGGACGAGGAACGCAGAAGGCCAAACGGCATGGGGACGTGCACGACAACATAACGGTGGAGTATGAGAAACGGGCCATCAAACTCCCTTTTTTTCAGAGGGCGCTACGGTGGAGTATGAGAAACGGGCCGTCAAACTCCCATTTTTTCAGAGGGCGCTACGCTTGCAAGTCCGGATGGAAAAGGCCGACTTGCCGCGAGACCCCATACGTTTCCACATCTCGTGCCGACTTTCCTCATTGGGAAAGAAGGAACGTCAATCGAAACACGGTAAACATGTATGTGGTCTGTTTCTCTGGAGTACAACAGACACCATACCATGCACGTACCCTATATGCAAGCCCGAATACGTATGAAAACCTCTATGTGCCGAAGTTCGTGGGAGGTCCCGTTATCCGCGGCCCTTGAACAGTCAGAGGCAGCTTACATTTCGTTTTCAGAATGACGGACGGCCCCTTTCTTCCTATTTTCCTTAAAAAGAAAAGGGCCGTTTTGATGCAATATCACCCCCACCTCACGACCTCCTTAATATTGCGTCCCCGTCGCCGGCCTAATGATGGATGAAATTGGTGAAAATAAATGGTTCCTCTGCCTGTCATTGGGGGAGAGAGAATGATATCGGAAGTACGGCCTCCAAATCTCGTCCGCGTTCAGATCCCTGAAGTTGGACGGACAATATGTGTCACCGTTAGCCACACGTGATCGGAAACCAAACGGCCGCGTGGTAAAACGTCTGTAGTGGGACGTAGCCCCTGAGGCAGGGAAACTTGTGGCTTTCAAGCCACGAGCCTTGGGCTCAAACCCCAAGGCTACCTTCTTCTGCTGCTTTTTGGCAGCCTGGTTTTCCCTCTGCTGCTTTTTGGCAGCCTCGTTTTTTTTTTTCCCTTTTTTTTTTTTTTTTGCACTCCCGTCGGCCTGGGCGAACGGTCACATCGCGGGACACCCCCAAAGACTGTTGAAATGCAGGCCCAAGTTCGATCCCCGTCGGGATCAAAAAAAACTTGGACCATTTCTCGATTTATGTGTGTCATCCTTGCGCAGGGGTCATGCTAATCTGCGCGGCTGTTCTCAGCCGTGCGATCTGAACGATCACACGGCCGAAAACGGCCGCATCCAAACCCCAGGGCTGCTCCTAACAAAAGGAGCTGGCCCAATCGCCTATCATCAAGCTTGATCCTTGAATTTGCAGGGTGATAGTCTGGCGGCGGTACCTACTGGGCTAGCTCCTTCTCACATCAAGAAAAGAGCAACGCTTCTATATGAAGGGCCTCCGGTGCCCAGCAGGCCCCCTTCCAGCGCCTAGCAGGCTGTGTCTGCTAAGCCTGCTTGTTACCGTGGCTGGCAGGCCGGGTTGGCAGATGACAGCCTTAGCAGCTGTCCTACCCAGCCGGCCCTAACGCCATCGCCCCCGGTCCTCGGCGCAAAAAGCCCCGCGGGCCCTAAAACTAACTACCCCTTCATGCTACGGCTCCACCCTCACCGCTGCGACCCCTTTTTAGCCCGCTTAGGCTACCGTCTTCACCCGAAAATAAAGCCGGGGCGTTATATTCAACTTACCCTAAAAAGATGAGATTTTTGTTTTTACTCACTTTTTTTCAAATAGAACGCCCCTTCAAATAGAACGCCCGGGCGTTATATTTGAATGTTACATGGGCAGAGTGCCTTGAAGAGGTGGTATACATGGGTTTTGAAGGGTGGGGAAGGGTGTATACATGAGTTTTGAAGAGGGTTGAATGGGGTTTTGACTTCCAAGGGATATATTTTGGCTTTTGTTTTCGTTTTTATTTTTTATTTCCGAGTTTATAAGGAATTCTGAACTGACCCTCAGCCAAAAGTTGGTCGTATTTTTTTTTTTCAGAATTTTTTGATTTTTTTTTTTCAGAATTTTGGGGCCTCACAGAAGTTACCACAAATTTACTGAATATGACGCCCGGGCGTTATAAGCGAATATAACGCCCGCCAACGCCCGGCCGTCATAAACGAATATAACACCCGCCAACGCCCGGGCGTTTTTTTTCGGGTGAAGACGGTAGGTAGAATAGGTCTAACTTTAGCGTTCCCATGTCCGCACATTCCTCTGCGGTCTCAACAAAGCGAAGCACGTCCGATCACTGCCACTCCTTTCGGATGCTGCAGCCGTCCGGACTAGGGTTCTAAAAGTTTTTGTTTCTCGGTCATAGGTCAGGTTTGAATAAACTTTTGGCAGATAATCCCATCTCATCAAGTTATGAAGCTCGAATAACCATTCACTAAGTCGGACATCGTTTGACAGGGTTTCTGCCCCGACACCGGAATGGAGGGAGGAGGTGAGGTGGAGATTGGGCCGAGGAAGGAAGGGAGGGAAGGAGATCGGGGGAGGAAGGACATGCAGAGGTGGAGATTAGGAGGAAGGAAGGGGAGGGAGGAGGTCGGAGGGAGGAGATAGGGGGAAGGAGGAGGTCAGGTGGAGATTGGGTGAAGGAATGAAGGGGCGGGAGATGGTCTAGAGGAGAGCGGCAGGGAGAGGTAGGGCGGAGGGAGGGCAAAGGGAAGGATGAGCGAGGCCAGAGGTTGGTTTGGTGGAGTGAAGAGGGAGTGAAGAGGTCACACAAAGGAGGGGGGAGAGACAGCGGAGGGGGGGTGCGGGAGGAAGAGCATGAAGAGGAAGAGGAGGTTGGGGGGAGGCCGAGAGGAAAGGGAAAGGCCGAAGGGAGAAGTCGGGTGGAGGGAAAGAGGAAGGAGGGCAGAGGTGGGACGGAAGAGGTCAAGCGAAGGTGGGGGGAGAGAGAGAGAGAGAGAGAGAGAGAGAGAGAGAGAGAGAGAGAGAGATTCTGCCAGGTCTCTGAATTATATGATGCTGTGTTATGATCCTGGCCAATTTCGAAGTACACTTTCACCAGATAGTACAATGCGTCCAATTGCAGGCAGAAATGAGTGAACTTGAGCAGAGAGAGAGGGTAAGAAGAAGAAGAAGAAGAAGAAGAAGAAGAAGAAGAAAGAAAGAAGATGAAGATGATGTACACCAGCATAGACAAATGACAAAGCTCTTCTTCTTCGCCAAACACTCTCCTACTCCTTTTCTCCTCCTCTCTTATTCACACAAGAAATAATAGTACAATGTTGAATGGCTGATCCAGAATCAATGTCCGAGCTCCTCTTCTACTGCAGGTATCACTTGAGGTCCACCATAGCCATGGCCGCCTCCCTCACTCTTTATTCTCATAGGCCAAGGCTATGGCGGACTACCGGGCCTTGCCCTGATGCCCAAAGGACAACCCAAAGCAGCTATGGCTGCTCTAGCTCAGGCCGCCTTGCCTGACTCTGCCTCAAAGCTTCTTGGTGTGGCTCCTACCCCAACGGGGGCCTTCCTGCTGCAGCGCACACCGAGGTGATGAAGATGGCTGCCACCATAGCGCTCCTCCCCCTTCCTGTCCTACTTCCTCCTCTGAGTCCTTATTTCTTCCTCAGCAGCGCTGCTCCAGCCAGCGCTCCAATCAGTGTGTCGCCAAACTTGCACACTGACAATGAGGCGCCAAACTTGCACACCGACAATGAGGCTGGGCTCTTCGCCCGGCCGGGAGATATAACGACCTGCTTGCCTCTTGGGCGGTGACTTCCAGGCCGCTCGGCCTTCCCAGCAACCGGTACCTCCTCCCTTTCGGAGGGAATGGGAAACATCATTGCAGACTCTGATATTGCCCGCACAGGCCCTAGACTCAGACTGGTTGGACTGGTACCCGCCTAGACCCAGCCTACAACTACTGGGCCTCTCAAAATGCCAGTTTTGTCTTCTTCTGCTCGGCCTCCAGTACCCGCATATCCACCTCTTCAGGGTGCGGTACCGGCCTCCCTGCTACTTGCGTGTTTTTCCCCGGCTGCAATCCCTCAATGTCACGGCCACAGGTAAAAGTACCGGCCCTGAGGGCCCAACGAAAGAACAAGTGCCCTTGCGGGTCACACACCCACTCAAGCCAACCAGCACTCAGACAGACATGCAGTCCAGCAAGCTTGCACACACACACAACCGACATGCAGAACTTGGTCGGGTCATCACAGCTGGAAACTCTGCAAGGCATTCAGTCTGTGAGCAAAACTCAGTAGTCAACTGTGTGTCTCAGTCCGTGTTTGGTCGGGTCATCACAGCTGACATGTCCTGCCTCGGTTTTGTCTTTGCCTTTTGCAAACCAGGAACGGCTCCAAGATGCACGCCCGGGATTACGGCTCACATGACAACGCTACTTTGATCAGCTCCCCCTGCGAGCAGCAACTGCCAAGCAGATTGGATGCTGATTACGTCAATCATACGTTTTACAACACCTTCTTAATATCAGTGGCACTCTTGTTATTGAAGACGACTTCTGGCAACGTTTCCGGACCGATCGTCAATCGCACCGCCATTTCGGCCCACGAAGAAGAGACTGAAAGACACACATGCACCCAGTTGAGACTGACACACACACATGCACTTGCACACACAGTCTACAGAGTTAAAACTCGAAGTAAGCACATGGCATACGTACAGGCAAACTCAGAATCGGAATCTTTAGCACAACTGTTTCTCGGGAAAAAACACAGATCTCAGACTGAAACTTTGTGGGTCGTAACACAACAGAAATACAGATACGCGTACGCAGAGATATACAGAGGGGGGGGAGGAGGAAGAAGGGTAGCAGGGGAAGAGGGAGGGGACAAGAGGGGGGGAGCAGCCAAGCAGCATTAGCGACAAGTGGTGCTGCTACCAGCATGTACTATCTGAAGGTTCATACGGTTGGTGAGGACCGGCTGCAGCCGCCGTCTGCATGTGAGAGCTCCGTCGAGTGGGGCTCGGTTTGTGGAAAGGAGTCGGTCATGGCCGCCAATGGTCCGATCAGCTCCGAAGAGGGTAATCCCCCAGCGGCGGCTATGGTGTCCATGGCAGGAGAACCCGTCGTTGCGGCAATGGCGTCCGTCTCCGAGAATGGAAGAGTCAGAGGTGGTGGCCGTAGATTTGGTGAAGATGACGATGATGATTCCGATGATGAAGATGATGAAGATGACAACCAAGCTCGCAGCGATGTCAATGGCTTTGTCCTACCGGATCGCGATGGCGGCGATGGCGGCAATGGCGATGATGGTGTCGATGGCGGCGATGTCAGCGATGGCGATGAGGACGGCGATGGCGGCGATGGCGGCAGTACGGTGGAACGGATCATCGGTAATCGGAGCTCGATATCTTTCTCGTCGGGAAACCCTAGGGTCGAATCTTGCAACGGTGTTGTTCATCTATATAGAGACGTCAACGCTTATCCTGGTACACGTGGCAGTCTTCCACTGGCTCGATCTGACCAGCTGTGTGTTTTGGCGGTTCCGATCCATTTTTCCGTTGCGGATTTCTGTCAGTTTGCTGGCGCGTTTTTGTCACAAACCAGCGAGATCCGGATCGTGAGAGAAGTTGGCGAGGTGGGAGAGGTGGGTGGTTCTTCGTCGTCGCGATACATGGTCTTGATGAAGTTCCGGGAGCAGAGCGCTGCTGACGAGTTCTTCAGAGTGTATAATGGCAGGTCATTCTCGTCGCTAGAGCCAGAGATCTGTCACGTTCTGTACGTCGTCCACGTGGAACTCACAGACTCCGCAGAGCGCGCCGCCACTCCTCCCTCAGGATTGACGGAACTGCCCACGTGTCCTGTCTGCCTTGAGCGGCTCGATCAACACATCAGTGGCGTGCTTACTACGGTCTGTAATCACTCCTTCCATAGCGCTTGTATCTCCAAATGGGGTGATTCGTCTTGTCCTGTCTGTAGGTATTGCCAGCAGCAACCAGAGAAGTCCACTTGTACTGAATGCGGATCGTCGGAGAATCTCTGGATTTGTCTTATTTGTGGATACGTTGGATGCGGACGGTATGAATCTGGTCATGCTATCTGCCATTGGCGGGAAACGCAGCACTGTTATTCCCTGGAGTTGGAGACGCAGCGAGTATGGGATTACGTTGGTGATGGGTGGGTGCATAGATTAATACAATCGAAGACTGATGGCAAATTGGTAGAGCTACCAGCGCCTTGTACAGTTAAGGTGGGGGGGACCACATCGAGGGACAGTTGCAATGAGTGGGGAGGAGGAGGAGGTGGGGGGGGTTGCAGCAGTGCTGCTCAGGATTCCGACCTGGAAGAAGCGGTGATTAGCAGCAAGCTGGAGGCTCTGTCCTTCGAGTATAATCACCTTCTCACGAGCCAGCTGGAAAGCCAGCGGCATTACTTTGAGGCCCGCCTAGCGGAGGCGGAAGAGAAAGCTGTCTCTGTCAAAGTGCAAAAACTCGCTGCCAAATTAGATAAGGTGGAGAAGGAAAAACGTTTTCTAGCTCAGCTCAATGAGCAATTAGTGAAGAATCAGAAAGAATGGCAAATGAAGCTGCAGGCGCAGGAAGAGAGGCTGAACAAGGTAATCGAGGAGCGCGGGAGACGGATTGCTGAGCTGGAGGAGGAGAATCGGGATCTGATGGCGCATCTAGGCTCGCAGAGAGTGCTTGAGAACACGGCGGATCTTCGCGATGGAACGGTCCTTCCCATATTGGCTCCGCAATCGTCGGCTGTGGGAGGAGGGGCAGGAGGAGGAGGGAGAGAGGGGTCTGGCGGTTTGGGATCGGGGTCGGGGTCTGCAGGAGGGAGACACAGAGGGGGGAAAGGCCATCGACGGCACAAATGATCATTGTTGTGGCTTTTGGAGGAAACTATGTGGCGGGAAAGTTCATTGCTAGGAAGGTTAGTACACTGAGCAGGTAGATCCTCGGAGGATATCTGCGTGGGGATCCCGACAGCCGTTGGTGGGGAGGCTCCAGGTCGGGAGCGAACAGAGTCAGTCGTCCAATGCGCAAAAGGACGGGTAGTTAGGGAGGGAGCGAGAGAAGAGGAGAGAGGGAGAGAGGAGAGAGGGAGAGAGGAGGGAAGGAGAGAGGAGGGAGGGGGGGAATAGCTCATGCATGGGATGTGAAATGGCGGGCATCAAAAAGTGGCGCGACGTCTGCTTGATGATGAGATTAGCTGAGTACCTGTAGGTAGGGAGGTAGGGTGAGGGAGGCAGGAAAGTAGTTGCCTCTCTTCTGAATGAAGATATGATGTAGAGGGGAGAATGGCCCTCCACGTACGGAAACAGGTGTTGGCGCGTCTTGGCGGGAAATTCATAGCGGGTTGTGCTGCTGCACTCTGTGCGCTTGAGAGGGGAGGAGTGAGGGAGGGAGCTTGAGAGGGAGGGATGGAGGGAGCTTGGGAGGGATGGAGGGAGGAAGGGAGAGAGTGACATGAAGTAGATTGGATAGCAGGTTAAACATGCGGCGGCACGAAATTGGCGGGAAATTTCTGGCGGGAAGAGTCGACTTGAGTAGGTATGTAGTTCTACAATACACGGAATTGAACAGGAACGGGCGTCTTTTTTTTTTTTTTTTTTTTTTTTTTTGTCGAAGGGAGTGTCGTTGTTCCTTGAAGGAAAAGGTGAAAGATGTTTGTGTGTGCGTTCTCATTTTGATTGCCACCGTCTTTTTTTGTGTCGACGTGCTCTCGCTTCGGTTTTGCCACATTGCACTACTGTGTTCAGCCGAATACAACGTATGGTCATTATTGCTGTATCTATGGACTCAAAGTCGTCCCAAATACACAGCTATAATGACCATACATTGTAGTCGGGTGAACACATAGAGGTGTGCATGTCATTTTGGTATACACTACCGTCTTCACCCGAACACAATGCACCCTTAGTTTGGCTGTACCTGACCGGAAATATAGCTTTCATACATTCCTTGTCAGGGTGCGTTATGTTCGGGGGAAGACGGTAATCTGTTGATACTGTGCTTGCTTCTAGTGGAGTGGAATCTGTCCCTTCCTCCCTTCTTCTTTTGTTATTATTATTATTTTTTAATAAAATCAATATATAAAGTCCATTTCTCGAATTTTTTTGTGGCATCCTTGCGTAGGGGGGTCATGCTAATCTCTTCTCTGTATCGCTCCCATTTTAACAAAACCGAGAAATGTTCCCTTCTTTTTGTCGTATGTATAAAACCGAGCTGAGGTTTTTTTTTTTTTTTTTTTTTTTTGGGTTCCGGGGTCCGCTTCTCTCCTCCTCAATTGTTTTCGGCTTTCTTTTTTTTGTTTTTTTTTTGTTTTTTTTTAACTGCGCTGTGCGTTCTGTATTTTTTTGAACCCTGAGAATGGCGCTGGCATTTTTGCTTTTTTTGGCGGGGGGTTGTAATTTTCATTCATTTTTCCAAGGATTGAAGCGTTGGAGACCATTTTTCCTGCTTGCAGTTTTTAGAGGAATATATAATGCTTTCCTTGTTTTTCTGAGAGCTGATAAAAGTTCATAAAACTTTTTTTTTTTTTTTTTTTTTTTTTTTTAGGAGTGGACAAAATTAATTTTCTGTGGGCAGCAGATTCAGAGGTGGTACAGATTCAATAAAGAGACGGTGGGGGAAGGAATTATTTGAGGGACCTCGTCCATATGCCTGATAGCATAAATGTGTATAATGTGCATTAACTATTGAATTACTTGGCAATTGCTTTTTTTTTTTTTTTTTTTTTTGAGAACAAATGGGTATGAAGCTAGGCTACCAGAGTGGCCCGGGGTCACTTGCCCGGCCGGGCCCAAAAAAAAAAATATATATATATTATTTTTTTTCCTTTTTTTCCGCATTTGCGCTCTGATATTTTGTGACAATATATACTCCGACGTTGCTAGCTCTCTGCTTTAGCAGATGATGCGGCGAGCGTCGGGCCTGTACTAGCAGGCTATGCTTTTGTTATGGTAGAGAAAAAAAATTCTACATTTGTTCTTGCCATTCCCCCTTCTTTGCTTCTTTTCCTTCACTTTTTTCCCTGTTGCTGGGGTGTTCCGTTTTGCGGGCCTACTGTATGGTTCCGTTTTTTGACTATGGATATGGTTATGGTAGATTTTGTTTTGCTGATCTTGTCTGTATCCCGGTTGGTCTGGTCCCGTTGTTCGGGCTATCTCATGGGCGTGGCGCGTGGGACCAGTCATTCGGGTTTTTGGCATCCTGGTTGTTTCCCGTTGTTCGGCCCTTTGTGCGCGGGGCGGTGCTCGTATGTGGGAATCGTCATCCGGGATTGTCTTCTCCTCTTTTTTTGGTTGTCACACTGTGGACCGGAGCTTTTTTGGTAGAATTTGTTCTGGTGGTGATTTTGGCACCCTTGTCTGCACCCCGGTTGGTTTAGTTCCGTTATTCGGCTTACGGTTAGAGCCCCGTGGCGGTGATTTCACGTGGGACTTGCTTCAGTCGGTACTTTGGGGACTTGACGTGCTCCTGCAGGTACTGTAGGGTACTGTAGACTACCGGCCTGCGCCTGCAACACCTGATCCTACAGGCCCTAAGATTCTAATCGATGGGGGCCTTGGAGTGGGATGATGTAGGACCGAGTAACGGGGACTGGGAACGCTTGCAGCGTGAATCCATTCAAAATAACCAAAATTGTAATAAAAGAGAGTTTAAAGAACTCCTGCCGCTGAAGGAACAATTTCTGCAAACTTTTTCTTCTCTTAATTCTCTTGCTACCTAGGCTACCAGAGTGGCCTGGGACCACTTGCCCGGCCGGGCCAAAAAAAAATTAAAAATTAAAAATAAGAAAATGGTGTTTTTTTTCTAGGCTACCAGAGTGACCCAGGACGACTTGCCCGGCCGGGCCAAAACAAAAAGAAATATATATTAATTTTATTTTATATTTTAAATTCGGTAAAGAATTCCGATGTGACCCTGAGCCAAAAGTTTTTCAGTTTATTTTTCTGCATATAGTCTTTTTTCCTTTTTTTTTAAATAGCTTGGGCCTTCCCTGGTCCTTGCACAGCCGGGCCGCCGGGGAAAACAGGGTGACCCGGGCGGCCCGGCTGGTTGCCTTTTTTTTTTTTTAATTGGTAAAGAATTTCGATGTGACCCTGAGGCAAAAGTTGTTCAGTTAAAAAAAAAAGTTGTTCAGTTTTGTTTTTCTGCATAACTTTTTTTTGTTTATTCGCTGGGACCTATGGTCCTTGCACGGCCGGGCACTGCGGTCAAACAAGGTGACCCGTGCGGCCCAGCTGGTAGTGTAGCTTGCTACACGACCCCAATGTTGAAAACATTCTTTTCTGTTTTTTTTTAATGTTGAAAACGTATAGAATGCATATGGATTTAATCACGTGATTAACTAAGTAGTGATTAATTATCCCTTAGTCCTCCTTGAGCAAATATGTGTATGAACTTAATCACATGATTAACTAAGTAGTGATGAATTATCCCTTACGCTTCCTTAAGCAAATAGCGGGTCTCGTGTGATGCTCCCACACGAGACCCGGGCTCCAGTGTTGGGAAAAAGGCTGTGGACGAAGGCTGGGCCCAACCCAAACCCGGTCGGCGTCAGCGCCCGCCAGTGCACGTCACGAACTTTCTGGATCGCCGAGGCCGGGCGGCGCCCGCCAGTGCACGAGCTTTCTGGATCGTCCAGGCTGGGCCCAACCCAAATCCGGTTGCCGCCGGTGCCCGCCAGTGCTTGGTGTGAACTTTCTGGATGACGGCGCCCTTCCACCTGCGGAAGGGATCGTTGTCTGGAGGACCCGAGTGAGCAGCGAGAGCGTGCTGAGCGAACAGTGCCGTTGTGGAGGGCAAATCAGCAGTGACATTGCAGAGGCAGGGAGAGAAGAGACTGCATGGGAGATCAGAGGGCAGGAGGGGAGGATAGTAGAGCAAAGTGAGAGATCCAAGACGAGAACGGCAGTAGCATACCGTGGCCAGCTGCCGCGTGGTTAGCATCGTGATCAAATCGGAAGCGCTGTTGCCGAGGCAGGGGAAGAAAGGACTGCATGGGTGATCGGTGGGCGGGAGAGGAGGATCATAGACCGAACCGAGAGATCTGAGAGGAGAGCGGGAGAACACGGCTAGCTGCATGATGAAGAGGAGAGTAGCATCTCGGAGAACGGGCGAACGCAGCACGATCATAGTGTAGCGTGGCCAGCTGCTGTGTGGGTAGCATTGTCATCGACATAGCAAGCACCGGCAGACACGGGAATAGGGAAGGATGGCAGCGGCATAACCTAGGGGAGGACAAAAAGGGAGGGGACACGAAGGGGAGGGGGACAGGCAGCATGATGTAGGAAGGAGAGGCGGAAATAGGAAGGGTGGAAGGAAAGATGCGAGAGGAAAGTGGGAGAACGATCAAAAAGGGAGAAGAGGAAAGTGGTATAGCGTAGCAAAAGGAGGAGACATGAAGGAGAGGAGACTGAAGAAGCTAAGAAAGTGAGAGGAGAGCAGAAGAAGGCGTGGGACAACGACAGAAGGCGGCTGGCTGGTAAGCGGGAAAAGGGTGAAAACCACGGGAACAAGCGGACGTGTAGCAAGTGGCTGACATACGTGGAGAGACAGAGCGGCGTTGAGTGCAATGCACGTGGTGTGGTACCATCGCGGGCACATGTGTAGGTGCGCTCAATGGCAAGCATTAATGTGGGATGGTAGCATAGTGGAAGCGTTGGAAGACCGGGGGAATACATGCACGTGGCGGCAGATCAAAGCGGTGGGTGATGGGTGTGTGGACGGTGAAGAGTGTACTTGTGACGGGACTCAGAGAAGGCTAACGAAGGAGATCGGCCAGATGGGACGAGAAGAGGAGAGACGACTAAATTGGAGGATCACGCACTGGGCCAGCAAAGGGGGTTAGAGGACGTTGACAAAGCGGAATGCGTCGGGGTGGCTGATCAAGGTGAGTGGAGGCTTTTTTGTTTTCCCTTTCTTTTTTTTTGGGAAGAGATGAACGAGAGGCCGGCGGATGGCAGAGAGGAAGACGGAGGTGAAGAGAGGAGGTTCTTATTGCCCCCTTGCCTTCGTCCACTGTGTGTGCAAGCACAACAGGCCGACCAGTAGCCTATACACAGAATGTGCAAATCGGCCAACCGGTAGCAGTGAATTTTGAAGGCGGGGGGACTGGTGGTTTAAGCACTGGAGCCCAATCCCAGACTTGGTCTTCTTAAACCACCAGTACCCCGGCTGTACACCGGCCGCTGGAAAAAAAACAGAGTAGAATCATTTCGACTCGGATGAATTTAGGCGATCCAGTCAAGGCCCGTTCATCCAAGCGTGTCGCGGCTCGTTTACGGCCGCAACCTGTGGGGGTGCTGCTGGCTTAAGAATTGGAGCCTGTTTCCCCAGACTTGGGTAGCGTTGCAACGCCAGAGGGGAATCAACCCGAATTAAAATTATCATCTCTTTTCATGCTTGTAAAACTTTGCCAGCTGTCGTTCTTCTGTTTTGTGCCAACTCGGGCGATCCAGTCAAGGCCCGTTCATCCAAGCGTGTCGCGGCTCGTTTACGGCCGCAACCTATGGGGGTGCTGCTGGCTTAAGAATTGGAGCCTGTTTCCCCAGACTTGGGTAGCGTTGCAACGCCAGAGGGGAATCAACCCGAATTAAAATTATCATATCTTTTCATGCTTGTAAAACTTTGCCAGCTGTCGTTCTTCTCTTTTGTGCCAACTCACACCACTGGTTTGCACTCTAGTTACATTGTTTTGAAGTTATAAAGTGTGGCTGTAATGGGGAGGTGTACCCATTGGGATGTGATATGCAGACACGTTTCAAATGCCGTGTAGTAGAGCGAGGGCCTTGTTTTTTCTTTGGTTTTTCTTTTGCCTTCCGGCCTTGCAACTTTGCCGCCGAACACAACACACACAGTGCAGCAGTGTGGTGATGGTTTCCAGTTCTCGTAATCGCTCGCTACAGCACCCATCGAAGCCCGCAATACCGATCAGCGCCTCCGAAGCTTTTCCAAAGTTTTCGTAAACCTCCAGTACTTATGACCCTTCCCTTGGCGAGCCTGGAAATGCACTGCGTCCCCAAGCAAAAACGAACCGACGTGTCCTTTTCAAACCACCAGTTCTTATGAAGCTTCTGTGCCCTTGCTAAACATGGAAAGACACTGCACGCTATGAAAAACGAACCCGGTACGCGCTTCCCTGTTTGGCTGACACTGCAAGCCGTTTAGCTCCAGTAGGTTGTGCCCTGAATGTCATGGCGTGTTAACGGCCATGCTGGCAAAAATGGCTGGGAAACGTAGCGGAGGTTTAAACCGCAAGTACACGGCCTCAGCCTTGCAGAAGGTTTTCGTCGCCACAAGCAAAACTCGGAGGGCCCGCGCGGCGCAAGGCGCCTTTCAAAAAACAAAATCGACGGCCTCCGAAGCGGTGCAGGTTTCATGCTGACACCCGCGGGCCGATGCATGGTGGACTGATGCTTTAAACTGTCACTCCTGTTTTGTTGCTGGATGCTGACCGTTTTCAATTCGCACCCCTAGGCCGGCCGAACCTATGCTGGGTTTGTTTTCCAAGCCTGGTTGGGGGCCTACCAACCACCAACTGGGAATTCTTTTTCTTTTGCAACTGGGAATTGCAGGGTTGCTTACCTGCCGACCGCTGACCCCGACTGCTGACCATTTTGCAGCCGATCAGTAGGGCCGACTGGTCGGCGGTCTGCCAACCAGTCGGAAAACAGCCATCCACTGAGTTTTTTTCAAATCTGAGTTGGGGGCTGTACTGCACTGGCTGAGTACAGCCCAAATCGTCTGAGAAACTTTCGGGGATGGGGGGGGGTATTGGGGGGTGTATGAGGCTGGTGGGGGCCGGTTTGGGGG